CGCCAACCAGGTCTATATCAGATGGATATTGTGTTCATTGTGGCTAGACATAACCACGCGTTTCATTCGTTAAGCATTTCTTACGAGCAGTTAACCATTGTGAAACTGAGGCTGACGCTGCTGTAGTCAAGAAGCCGGGCATGGAGCCATGTGGACTATGTGAAAATCCATGTGGTGGAAAAGCACAAACCCTTAAACGGTGGGGCTATCATTGTGAACGATCTTAAACGAAGTGCCAATGGAAAGACAAATCGTGCAACCAACAAGGCATATTACTTGGCCCTCAAGGGGTTAAGGAAAATATAAACAATGAATTTTCATTTAATTTTGACTATATTTGATTTTCGACCGACAATTCTAATAGATAAGTTCTCTTGGTTTTACACAGTCTGATTATTGGTGCAATATACAGAATTTAGTCCGGGTAAAAACCAGCTGGGTTGTTATTATGTATCACAGAGGTTTTTAGCTGATATTTAATATTCTGTTAGGCAGTTGCATTCATTTATTTTTTATCATATTCACTTTTTGTTCTTTGTCCCTTTTATGTTATTGAGCATTCACTGCCAGCAGAAATCATTACCGCTTATCGCCACATACTATATTTTATATTTAACCATTTTTATTTATTTTAAACTAAGAAAGAAAGTTGCGCGCGTCCAGCAAAAAAAAAAAAGAAGCGCCCCCATTGGCTTTACACACGATTGCCCACATATAGACACACACAGACTCACACACACACACACACATACTTGGATGATGGAATGAAAGCCGTTGTTGAACGCAATTCAATTGGAATTAAATTCAAGCAGCGGCAGTTGCCTCGAGCATTGGCTGCAGTTGTTGTTGCGGTCGCATTGTTGGCCTCATTGCCAGCTTAGCTGTTCGCACTAGTAACCGCTAGCCGTGTGTGTGTGTGTGTGTGTGGGTGTCTGTGTGTATGTATGTGTGGGTGTCCTGCAACTTGCCTATACACATATTTTATATAGCTATGTAAGCGAACTTTGTAACTGTTTTGATTTTGTGCCGAGTTTACAAGCTGAATTTTTGCTTCAATTGATGACAATGCTCGGATTTACACTGCATTAGTATGTGTTGTTGTTGTTATTGACGTTGTTGCACACTCGCTGTTATTGCATTTCCTGTGTGTCAATATCCTGTGGCATTGTTACTCTAGCACACGCGCCGCCTGCTCGTTAGCAGTAATTACCAGCGAAAGCTGCAACTGTTCTAGCCACAATTCCCGTTGGCCTTGTTTCGTTAATAAACTTTGACATTTGAACCTTTAAGGTGACATCCTGTGGCTCTGAAAGGACTCGACTTTTAGTGCACTTGCATTTTATTTGCCCACCTTAATTCTACTCTCTTTTAAATTTTTTTTTTTAAAGTGAATGAACAACTGTGAAAAAAACCCCATTTAATTATTTTCATTACGTTCAATTAGGCTTTTGAGATTCCATGCATGCTTTAAATATGCAAATAAATGCAGTGAAGCCTTTAATTATTTATGTTGTTTGGTTTTTTTTTTTTTTTTTTTGCTGGCAACTCAATTAATTGAAATATACAATTGCAAAAACATGAACAATTCAAGCGAATTGCAATTTTTTTCTTTTTATTAAAAATCATGCCCATTTATTCGTGGCGATGCTCGACTTCTGAATTCTCCGCACAATTTAAGTAATTTGATACTAATGGAACTAAAAATGTAAATTAAATGAAATATAAACTAAAGTACCATCAACCAAAACCGTTGTGAAAATTCAATAAAAGCTAAGGCTTATATTTCGCACTCAGTAATTAAAGCATGAGTAAATAAGCTAAATGGAAATCTGGGAAATTCAGTCGGGAATCGAAACAGATGTTTGGCCACTCAGAAGTGTTGGGTACAAATAAGAACAACTGAATATCCATGATAAAATGTTGGACTGTTAAGATTAATGCATAGCAAAAAAAAAAAGAGCGAAAAAGCATAGAATGCCGAAATGCCAGAGTACGTATACAAATTACAAAGTTTTCACTTAACTGGCATCCCGTTGTGGCTGTACCTAAATTTTCTATTGCACCGTTAATAAATTGTGCCTCCAAGTTATTTACGCCAAGTAACTCATTGGAGCCGTAACCCAAATGCATAAATCACACGGAACTTCCACGGAAAATGGGGTTTGCATTTGGGTTTGGGTTGGCCGGGTTGCTCATTGTCGTCGCTGCTGCCAATGTAATTACTGCCCGAATTTGCCCACCAACTTTGGTCATTAGATGGGCGAACCTTTTGGTACACACTTTTTATTTGCTCGACACTGCTAAATTGCAATTTTTTTACATATTTTGCGGCACTTGGTTGGCGCCAAAAACCTGAAGTACATATCAGCATTGCATAATTTATATTTAACTGTGCCAAACAGAGGCGAACCACTGCCACCTTATCAAGCAACCACAAACAAACATTGTGCACAGCATCGAGTTTGGGAATTACCCAACGCTTTCAGTCATAAATTCAACTCCAAGCTCTAAGCGGCTGCAGTTGTCTCTGCACTCACTTGGTACTCGGTTCCTTCCTAAGATATTTACAAGTAGTTCCTGCCTGCTGGCAGCTTGTTTTCCTGTAAGTTCTTGCTAATTGTTGTCGCTCGTTGCGTACGAGCAGCGCGTAATGTCCTTGAGGTCAGGTGGATGTTGGGCGCTGAAGGCGTTTAATTTAGTCACCAAATGACTATTAGTTATGAGCTGATTATGCATCCGTTGCGCTGTCCCGCTCGCCCTGTCAGCCATGATTAATGTCCCATTAAACGTGATTCCGAGAAGGTTGGCAACAAACGCCCTCCGACCCACACACCCCCCGCCACTGAACAGGGGAAATAAAAACAAAACATTTGCACGCGAATGTCTGTCAAAGCAGCACGCAAAATACTTGCACCATATCCCCACATAAACAACCAGTAGCAGCCCCAAGACAAACACTCTTTTATGGCATTTTTATTGAAACACGTAAAACACAAATTGAGCAACTCGCAGCTCGCAACCAATGGGTCGACTGGGAAAGGGTGAATAATCACCCATAAGCTGAGCCTGCCAAAGCATGTAAACAACAGGAATTGAATTTCACAGTATTCCCTTCGGGCAAATTGCATGCAATTAAAATTTTAAATCCTCCAACATTATAGCAATCAAATAATAGGCTTTTAATCGCCAAGATTAAAAATAGTGCTTACAATAAAAAAAGCCGAAAAATATATTATGTAAAGAATACAACTTCAACCTTGAATATTACCTTACAAAAATATTGTTTATTTACAATTCGTTAACAATATATTTTTCTTAACTGCCTGAGGGGGTAAATAAATTTACTTTCGAGGAAAGTTTGAAGCAAAACTTTAAAACAAAATTTAAAAAAAAATATTTATTTTTTAATAACACAAATTTTAAAATAACGAAAATTTTAGTACATAAATCTCAAACATGAAATAAATAGAAAGGAATATTTCCTTTTCCTGGGAAAGGGTGAATAATCACCCATAAGCTGAGCCTGCCAAAGCATGTAAACAACAGGAATTGAATTTCACAGTATTCCCTTCGGGCAAATTGCATGCAATTAAAATTTTAAATCCTCCAACATTATATCAATCAAATAATAGGCTTTTAATCGCCAAGATTAAAAATAGTGCTTACAATAAAAAAAGCCGAAAAATATATTATGTAAAGAATACAACTTCAACCTTGAATATTACCTTACAAAAATATTGTTTATTTACAATTCGTTAACAATATATTTTTCTTAACTGCCTGAGGGGGTAAATAAATTTACTTTCGAGGAAAGTTTGAAGCAAAACTTTAAAACAAAATTTAAAAAAATATATTTATTTTTTAATAACACAAATTTTAAAATAACGAAAATTTTAGTACATAAATCTCAAACATGAAATAAATAGAGAGGAATATTTCCTTTTCCTGGGAAAGGGTGAATAATCACCCATAAGCTGAGCCTGCCAAAGCATGTAAACAACAGGAATTGAATTTCACAGTATTCCCTTCGGGCAAATTGCATGCAATTAAAATTTTAAATCCTCCAACATTATATCAATCAAATAATAGGCTTTTAATCGCCAAGATTAAAAATAGTGCTTACAATAAAAAAAGCCGAAAAATATATTATGTAAAGAATACAACTTCAACCTTGAATATTACCTTACAAAAATATTGTTTATTTACAATTCGTTAACAATATATTTTTCTTAACTGCCTGAGGGGGTAAATAAATTTACTTTCGAGGAAAGTTTGAAGCAAAACTTTAAAACAAAATTTAAAAAAAAAATAGTTATTTTTTAATAACACAAATTTTAAAATAACGAAAATTGTAGTACATCAAAAATCTCAGACATGAAATAAATAGAAAGGAATATTTCCTTTTCCTTCCTATTTTATCAAAATAAATAAGCTTCCATCGAATAAGGGTAAAAATAAAAAATTAATTTTAAGAAAATTAAAACAATACTTTATATTTGAACAAACTCTTTTAGGCTTCGTTGGGTTGTTTGGTATATATAAGACAGCAATTCGCTGTCTCTAATACCATGTACTAGCCGCGAAACCTGCATGTTTAAGAACACAATACTACAGTAAACAAAAACACACAACAACCATACAAAAACCAACTCTTGTAATATAAACCACTCTTGAAATAATTGCGAGTGTTTACTTAACATGAATGCTTGCTGGAAATAATGTGATATGTAGTTGGTATATTTTAGTATTATATATGTCTGTTATTTACTCGTGAGCATGATTTAGCACCAGCTAAGCAATTAACTATTATATTTACAATGTAATTTACAATGTTATGTACATAAGGATTATTTATTCGATTACTATCCTGTTCTCTTGCTATATCGATACTTGTAATCGATGTATTCGCCCAAGTCAATCGATACTAAAGACAATCGATATATTGAATTATTAACTTTTAAAGCGTGATGTCGCTTCTGCCATCACTATGAGAGCTATATTACAAAATTTGGAGGGAAGTTTATGCCAAATCTGACCCGTTAAACATTTTCTGCGTTTATTTAGAAGCAATGACAACTGCTTTAGACAACTTTCAACGCGCCGAGAAAATCGGCGAAGGCACATACGGCATTGTGTACAAAGCGTGCAACAATCAAACCGGCCAGGACGTCGCACTCAAGAAAATCCGCCTAGAAGGGTATGTAGCAGTCAAAAGGATGAAGGATCCAATTGATGTGGCCGCAACTCAAGAATGCATCGATGCAAGTAATGTAGATGCTAAGATGCATAAACGCCAAATTCGATGGCTGGTGGCAAGTTATTGACACGCATCTGCTGGCAGCTGTGCGGCATCCTTGATGTCCTTGACGAATGTCAAACGGCTTGGCCGGCTCAACAGCTGTACAACGAAGCCCGGATACTGTGTGTGTTGCGCTGTTTAGAGGTACGTAGCACCACATGATTCGGCTTCGTGGTGCACGCAACTGCAACAGAGGGCGTCAACGGTATTTATTAATATAGGCTACGTACATACGTATGTTTATGTTGTATTATTTGTTATATGCTAATCTATCCTGTGTTTTCGTAGCGAATCGGAAGGAGTACCATCGACTGCCATACGGGAAATATCTCTATTGAAAAACCTTAAGCACAAAAATGTAGTACAACTTTTTGATGTTGTTATATCTGGCAACAATCTATACATGATATTCGAGTACCTTAACATGGATCTCAAGAAACTTATGGATAAGAAAAAGGATGTCTTTACACCACAGCTAATTAAAGTGGGTGGTCTATCTCAAGAGTCATTGTAACAAAATTCTATGCTAATTTCCACGTTTATTAATTCTACAGAGCTATATGTATCAGATATTCGATGCGCTCGACTTTTGCCACACGAATAGAATACTGCATCGGGATCTCAAGCCGCAGAATTTACTTGTTGATACGGCAGGCAATATTAAGGTAGTGTACCCCAGCTTGCTTACATCATTATCTACTAATAAGCCAATTTCAGCTGGCTGATTTCGGTTTGGCTCGTGCATTCAATGTACCCATGCGCGCCTATACACATGAGGTAGTAACACTTTGGTATCGGGCGCCTGAAATACTGTTGGGCACCAAGTTCTATTCGACGGGCGTGGATATCTGGAGCCTGGGCTGTATATTTTCCGAAATGGTTAGACATAAAGTATTTATATCTGTGGTCTTTATCAGTGTGAATTTCCTTTATAGATCATGCGGCGTTCGTTGTTTCCAGGCGACAGCGAAATCGATCAATTGTACCGCATCTTTCGCACACTAAGCACACCCGACGAAAGCAAATGGCCGGGTGTTACACAACTGCCGGACTTTAAGGCTAAGTTCCCCAAATGGGAGGCATCCAATGTGCCAACGGCCATACGCGAGCATGAAGCTAACGATCTCATTATGGTAATTCCCCAATCGGGATTAAATCTTAAACATTGCTTACTTAATGTTACACTTAACTGCAGTCGATGCTGTGCTACGATCCAAATCTGCGCATATCTGCCAAGGATGCACTTCAACATGCCTACTTTCACAATGTGCAGCATGTGAAAGATGTTGCATTGCCTGTGGACCCCAATGCTGGCAACGCGTCACGGCTTACGCAGCTCGTTTGACGCCTACTTTACGCTCCACATTATAATTATCACGTTTTCTGTGATTGTATAGTAAGTTTATATGTCTACCTCAATGTTAATACAACTAGTGCAATTATAGAAAATCTAACTACATTAACTCTTGTTTTTCCCCTTTTGCAGATGTCAACTTCATTTCACATCAACACACATCCCACAGTCAGACTAACAAACACCATCAAAATATACATCATTTTCATAATAACACATAGTTTATTGATGATTCTTAACCAGGCGTGCAGCAAGTAAGTAGCGCTGGTGCTTGCGTGGTTTTACTTTAGCTGGCGCTCCCATTTCTTTATGTGTGTCGGATTGACGCTGGCGCTGACGATTGCGGTGATCGTCTCGCATATATGCCCCAAGTGCATTGCGCATGCTCTCAGAGAGCTCATGATCGTCGTTCGTTGCATCGGTTGCTGCAGAACCGACGCCGCCTTCAGTATCGACTCCGTAATTTTCATCTTCGTCTTCATTTGCTAAATTATCATCGTTTGATTCGTCAAGTATTGTTTCTGCTGATAATTCTTCACTTGGCAATTTAATAGCCAAGCTGATGGGTCGCAGCACGGTATACTTTTTTGCATTTAGTTCACCCAGGCTCTCCTCGGCAGCATCCTGTGCGTCACCTTCTGCCTGTAAATTATCTTCAAAGTATTGATCATAGTAGTTTGGCTGATTATAGTGTTGCAATCGACGCATGCCGTAGTAGTCGCTCGGACCATAGTAGAACATTGGTTGGTGCTGTGGCAGCGACACGGTTAATGGGGCGCCGTAGTAGTCATAAGGATCATCCTGTTCCTGTGAGTCATAGACTGGTCTACGCTTTTGTTGCTTTCGCCGCTTACGCTTGCGTTTATTGGCACTCTGCGTTCCAGATGTCGATGACTGTTGCTGCTGCAGCTCATCCTCATGCTCGTCAGTGTAGACAGCTTGCACGGGCAGCGTTTCAACGATGTTGGTGTTACCATTATTGAACAAGTTGACCAACGGATTGGTCAGATTTTGCAGGCCGAAATTCGGCTGCACGCTGCGCAAAAAGCTGTTCCAGACACGCAGAAAAGGTCGCTCCGTAGTGGTTGAGGGCGCTGCCTTTGCTTGACCTGCTAAATTGTGATTACGCTTGAGCCCGTCACTGGGGTATCTGCTCTGGATAAACTGGTATCTGGGATAAATAATTTGACTGCTGCTAAAAGGAAAGGAAAATTGACGTATTATGTGATTGTAGACATAAAAACATATTAATAAAAATATATATAATACAAATATTTACGAGCATTTTGTCAGTTTTCTCGACGAATTGCGTTTCATCAACTTAAACTTCAATTATTATCGAAGCTATGCGCACCAAAAGTACAAAGATAATTTGCTTACCCAGAATTTTTCTGCACCTGTGTCTTCCAATGCTGCCGCACATTAAAGTCATTTGTCCTGGCTGCTTGGATCTGGTTCGGAGCAGATTGCCACGCCAGTAGCAGGAATGCTGCCCACAGTTGCCAATGCATTGAAAATATTTGTTTCAAAATATTGTAAAAATCTGAAGACCCAGCCGTGTTCTTCGCTGGGTTAAAACCAACTGATACTAAATTCAGTTTGAACTTAAATTGTCAACACAATTCCCACTTAACTTTTCTTTACCATTCTTAGATCTTGGCTGATTTGAATGGTATTTTGGCTGACTGATGGGACAGTGAAAGTTTTTGCATCAATTTGACAATATCCATGTCAAAACAACCAAATTAATACGTATGCATGTCTGGGCCCAACTAACCCCGTTCTGAAAGCGTTGAAAGTCTTCGCTTGGGAGCAGTTGTCCATAGGCAGCTCCCAATCACCAGATTCATTCATATGCTAATTTACCCATCATACACCCATACCATTTGTTTAACGCAACGATCATTTTTGCCAAATTCTTAAACCAGTTTAGATCAAAGAGTCTTCAAAAACATTTTGATTTTTATGTCGATAAGGCGTGTCTTTTATTTATGATACCTGACGAGCATATAAGGGAGTCTTAAGACATAATTTTAAGCTGATTTAACTGAGTCAACATATTCATGTCCACCATGTTCTTCCCAAAGCCTGCCCACCTTCATCAATTGGTTATCAAGCCCAATCTGCTGTTGGGTAAACCTAATGGCAATACTCTGTTAACACATCTTCCTGTCAGACGCTTATTGCACAAAACCAATGTACTTTTCCATGTTTGTGAACAGGGTAAAAAGAGTTGTCATTACCAAAAAATTTATTGAGTCCTTCGCAAAGTCTACGGCGACGGAACTATTGCCTTCCCAGCCCGAAACACGGCGCTTCAAAACAACTTCCGAACCAAAGCCAAAACAAACAGAATGCAAAGCGCAAGAAAATCTCTAACAAGTGTCAACAACTGGCCGAAAGAGCGGGAGAGCGCAAGAGAGAAAGCTTTGGTGGGTGTGAGAGAGTGCTTTTGGGAAAGCAAAATCGAGCTTTGGCCGCTATCGAGGCAACATAAAGGCCCGCTCAGGAATCGTTTCAGTTGACGTTGAGATTCCTGGCCAGAAACGACCCGAGTACCAAGTGGCTGCGACGCGCGCTTCAAAGAAAGCTGGAAAAACGCCAGCAGCTACAAGCAAGCTACAAGAGTTTTTCCTAAGCCTAGGAAAACTAGTGAAAAAGGCAAGTTTAAATGGCAGTTGCTTTCGACAAAACAGCCCACGACTTCTGCGCCAGCATAAGTTTTATGTGTAGGTGTATGTGTGTGGGCGCGCGTCTGTGCTTGTGTGTATCTATGTGCGTGTGCCTTTTGTGTATCCGTTCGGTGCTCAGTTTTGAGTTGCTCCAAATTATATGGAACAACAAAAATTTGCTTCATATATGTAATTGAATTAAGGCAAGGGGCCCAGCCAGCAGCGAAGCGTTCCCTTTTTTTTTATGTAAGGAATCGTGCAAAAGAGCGGAAAAAAGAACGTCAAGAATTGCGTAAAGTATGTGGCATGCCCCACACCATGCCACAATGCCATTAAGTGCTTAAGTAAATTATATAAAACCATTTAACGCATCGATGCGCACTCATAACCAAAGCAAAAGTACTCAGCTGGCAGCTGAACATTATAAATAACTCTCAGCCTTTTACCAAGAAAAATACACCAACGCAGGTGCCATGTTGACGTACATAAGATATATGATATGCCCTAACAAGCACACATGCCACCACATACATAGATGCTCCAACTGAGTAGCCGAGTAAGCTGGGGCTGGGGCGACCGGTTGCCAGCCCACGCGCTGTCCGCCCCCAGCACACGCTCAGCAAAAAGAGGAATACACCATCTCTAACAAGGACAAACGAAGCGCAACCGCCCACGCAGTCCAACTGTCTGTACTTGCCTGAAATTGAAACATCTTGGCGGGCGTTGCATGGCGAAATTTTTGAAGTGCGCATTTTGTGGTTGCCTCGTTACCCGCCCATTCACCCATTGTCCGTTGCTGTTGTTGCGCCCGAGTCTAGTCCAGGTGTGTCTGAGAGTAACAATTTTTAGCGTCACTTTCGCTTTCGCTTTCGTTGGGGCTGTGGGCGAGTGCCCTCGCTCAAGCGTTGCGCTTGACCATAACCATTAAAACTGTCACATTGCGTATACGCCGCGTGTTGTCCTCGACCATTGTTGTTGCTATAAGCTCGCACTCAGCACCCACGCGTGCCCCGAGAGCACAACCTTACTCTCTTGCACACTCTTTTTCTGCCGCCGCCCCCCCCCCCCCTCCCCCACCACCCCCTCTTTTTCTCTCTCTCTCACACAGTCACTCGCTGTCTCTCTGCTGTTCAGCTGTTCGGTTTCTGTTTTGTTTTGAATCGCGTTTTTGCATATTGCACGTAAACAACCAAGACCACCCACTATTTCTTCCTCTTGGTGCCACCCCCTTTTGGCAGCTTATCTAGACGCCAGTTCCCATCAGTCCATGCATTTGCGCACGTTTTAGTTTGTTTTTGTTTGGCAATTTAAATTTTATTGTGATTTTAATGCAGTGCAAAGAAAACAAACAAAAGCAACGTCGAAGAACAGAACGTGCTGGCATCCTCTGCTTTGCATAGAGCCATTTGGCGCCTAAGTGTGTGCTCTCCCGACGAGGACTGATATTATGGCATAGACATTGTTGTACTTGTTCTTGCCGTGTGCGCATTGGCCTGGTAGCTTTATGGGCCCATTATGCTGGCTAGAATCATTAACTTAAAAAAACATAATGTTTGTTTCTTAAGCTTATTTTAGTACTCCTTTTCTAAATTTTAAACGATTTTTATATAGGAGCTCACCTTCCGGTTGTTTCTTTCGAGAATTTATGATTTTGTGTTCCGATGTTGATGCGTTAAGCTCCTTTTGCGTCTATATAACGTAGTAATCCAATGCTTTTGCTCAACTTTTTACCAACAAATTCTTTTTATGACATCTATAGAAATATAACGCTCAAAGTTGAACACCATGTGAAATTTGTAATACTATCATATCCGATAATTAAATAATTAATACATTCGACCTGTTATAAGCTGTTGTACGACTCAGCTTATTATGATTAAAAATTAGAATTCGGAATTGCGCTTTATAAATTCTATGTAGGGACGCAAATCCAAATAGCTGGCTACGATGAGCTCTTTATCGTCGACCTTTTTGGAGTCGAGCAGCAGGCCAACCAGGTAAAAGTATTGCGGCTCATCCGAGCTCACCTCGATGCCCACCAGTGGTGCACCCACGTAATACATCTTCATGCGATCCTGATAGCCACAGACGGTGTGGTTGTTGGTAGTGAGTGTGCCATGCTTTTCCTGGCAATAGGGTCTACTGATAGTATGCACCCAGGTCTTGTGCTTGAGCTCAGAATTGGTGGGCAGGCCGGCTACAACGAACAGTTGTCCCACCAGAGTCTCATGCAACGACGACGAGGGCGGCATGCAGACGGGCATTACATTTGTTGTTCGACTCGCATCCCGCTTGAGGGTGAGCACCGCCAGACTGTGCTTCAGCGAAACTGGATCGTACTCGGGATGTATAGCGATCCCCACTATTGGTATTTCCTGGGCAGGCATTACGCAGTAGCCATCGTCAGCGCAGTCAGCCTCGTTTGCCTTGGAGGTCTTGTTCCATACGCCCAGCTGCACAGAGTAGGCATTGGCCCGCCCATCGTACAGCAGGAAACAGTGGGTGGGGGCCAGAACATTACGCGGGGATATGAGCACGCCGAGACATCCATCATTCGGCAGCTTGGTCTCGTGTCCTGGTGGTTGGATCAATTAGTGCCTATTGTGTCCCCGGCTCGATATCTTACCATTTTTGTACATTATGCGTGCCAGCCACTGATGCTCCGTGGGCACCGCAAAATTATTCTGTCTTAGCAGCTCCTCCTCGCTTATGTAACCACATTTGGCATCTTCCAAGCTGGCTGATCGCACAGCTCCGGTGGCGAGAAGCACACAAATCAAACCGAACTCAAGCTGCATCTGGGAGCACGACTTGAAATTAACTAAACTGGAAATCTTATATCTATGACATTAGCGCCAGTAAAGGTATTGTGTTATTGTAAAACAATAAGAGGGCTGCTCGATAAGTTTGGCTTTACTTGTATTCTTTTAAAGTACACTCAGAGAAAAACATAAACTTTAATTTAAATCAATCACAAATGTTTTGAATGAACAGCCAAATCTAAAATTTCTTATCTCTAGAACATACTTCTAATTTAAAGAACTTCTTAATGCTGTTCTCATATACGTATATGTATCTCATATGTATTGGACCCAATGTGGATCCACTCTGGTTTTTGGCATCCCCACATCATTGCTTAAATCTAAAATTTAATCCCTTATGTTCAGTTACTTGAATGACTGAACCAATTCAACAATTCATCTACTGAGAATGGTCCTAACTATGAGCTTATATTGTTCAACCAGTTCCGCTTGTCATTCCATAAGCCTGTCCTAAAACTTTACTCGCGACCCACTTGTTTCACAATTACATTCATTAGAATTCCAGTTATATACTGTGCATAGCTATATCGTGGAAAGACCCAATCATAATAATCGACAAGCAAGTCAAGTCTAGTCAAGCAAGAAAACTATATTTACGGAAATTATTATAAAACAGATTTACATATGTTATACAATTGATGATCAATGTAATATACGCTCGCTTAGCGGGTATTCTCCATAATCCAGCGGCGCCAGGGTTTTATGTCTTGGATAAAGAAAACTGTGGGTCCTCCCTCACTCACCACCTTTACCAGTAAGCCCACCAAATAGAAGCTGCGCGGCACATCTTTCTCAATGTTCATGCCCATGAAGGCAGAGCCTCTATAGAAGACAGTGCGCTCCACAGGAAATGCGCAGAACTGATTTTGCGATGGGCTCGATTTTCCACTCAGCCGACTACAGCGATTCTTCGATATGGCCATTGCAAGACCTTTGCCCTTGCGGTAGTTACTATTTTCAAAGCCGCCGTAGTGGAAATACCTATTGATCCATGAGGCGGGCTCTGAAATGGGCTGCAAGCACAGCGGTTGCACGTGGGCAGTCATTTTGATCCGATCCGATAGCCGTAGAATGGCCAAATCAATGTCGCCCGTAACCTTATCCGCCTGTGGATGCATCGTAATCGCCGCAACCGGTTGTTGCACGGGCCCAGGCACACAAAAACCTCGTTCATTGCAGACTAACTTCTCGTCGGGCTCATCCTTCTCATTCCAAATGCCCAGCCGCACGGCAATCATCTCCGGGTGGTCATAATGGTCGCGCACGCACGATGCTGTGGTCAGGACATGTGATTCGCCCACGATGACCACATTGCAGCCGGCGTTCTCAAATGACTGACCTAGCAAAGATTTAAATAGTCTCTATCAAAGGCAGTGCTCTACGGCTTACCCGCTCACCAGCTCACCTTTGCGTTGGAAGAGTACTCCCATCCAGGGGTACTCGGCGGGCTGCGTAGACTTGTCTTTGCTGAAGAGCAATCGCTCCTCGAGGTTGCCGCAGTTCAACTCCGCGCTTGCAGTGGCTGAAAATTCAGAGCATTAGCATATTGCAAATCATAAACTTAAATAAGAGCTGCCATTTACCGCTCAGCAAAGTGCCAACTAGCACCACAACTAGTTTTCCCAGAATTTTCATATTTCCAACATGCTTAGCCGCATCCATTTCTCGTCTACCTGAGAGCTCAAAGCAAACTGAAAGCCGCTTAGAGCAAGCAGCTAATCAATTTACAATCGCTCAACTTCTATGAGAACTAAATGGTCGGAGAGTTGAGTCAGGTTAAACATTTTCTCACTTAATGAATTTAATTGAGAGAGATATTGGGTCTCATCAAGTACTTTTGCTGTGCTGCCTTATTTAAAGCAAAGATTTTATTTCCCATTGAAATCTAATTAAATACTAACAGGTATTTCCCGGTCTTGTCCGGCTTCAGTTTTTGAAACACATCAATTTTACGGGCAAGATCCCGTCACAAATGTGTTTTGCCCTCGTCTCAACTGAGAAACATTGATATGTCAAAATGAGTTTAAGGATCATCGAATTTCTGATTTGCAGTCTCAAGCGTTGAAGCCAAAAAATCATCTTTCGTTTATACATCCTATGATTTGCATTTATGATAATTTTGAGAAATGTGACCGATCGGACGAAACCTTAAACTTCCTCCCATAGA